TGCTACACATGAACAACACATTTTGTCCACATGCAGATATCACACTCTTAAGTTTTGAGATATTCATATTGGAAATGAGGCCAGTTGTCATCAAAAGTCATGCCTTAAACCTCTCCAAGTTGGTATGAGCCAGTCAATAACTTCTCTTTGACTTCAAGGAAAAACAAATGTACAAATTTAACATTACATTTTTGAGGCCTAAAATAACCAATGGTTTTCAGTTTGCTCAAATAAATCTTAATTTAGAGTCATTATTTACATTTCAATATATAAGGTTGTTTAAATAAAACTGAGAATTTAACCATGTAAAATGTAAACAATAGAAATTTATATCTATTGTCTCTAGTTTAGAAGGCAGCTACCATTAAAATTAGAAAGCAATTAAATATGTTATAAACAGAGTATTTTACCTTTTTTGGACAAACTCGTTTGCAGTTGATATAAGATAATTTTCCATTCGTTGCCCAGTGAGGTTATAAATTACTTGGGATGAGTAAGTTCTTCTGTGAGGTGGGGAATAGTTAAATTTAGGACATTCCTGGAAAATGAAGTTAAAAATGAATTTTTTCTGGCCGATGCTGTGCAAGTTAAATAGACAATGTCAAGGAGCTTCAGCCTCATGATTTGTCTATTACTGCAACTGGTAGAATGTGATAAGACTGTCCTTTGACTCTGAAGAGCTTTGAAAAAGAAGTCATCTCATCTACGCAAGAAATTAGAACAAATAGTTATTAGTCATGTAGAGCAAATCCCTATGTTTAGGACTCACTTAAAGGCCTGAAAGAACACAAGTTAACGAATGTGTGATATTTCCTTCACTGTGCTGAGGCTTAATATGTTTGGACAATAATGTTAAACATTAAGATGATAAAATTTCCTCAATAATTCTTGGGGAAGGAAAAAAAAGTTGGCCACAAATTGAAAATATAACACTTTGCAAGGATTGATAGCAGTGGATGAAAAGTGTATGATACATTAGTTTTAGGTATGTAACGTAAGAGTCAGAGCTTAGTTATATGTATATTAGTTAATATTATATATGTATATGTGTGTGTATATATATTAATTTTATATATATAAACTTTTAGTTTGGAATTATTTTAGATTTACAGAAAAGTCACAAAGCTAGTGGAGGGTTCCTGTGTACCCTGGTTACTTTCCCTTGTGGGTACTTATATTACCAAGTATATTTGTTTAGAGCTTAGTTTAACCATTTATATTTATGCTTGTAACTTTCTGCACTTCCTGATAACTTAATTTTCAGTGTAGCTTCTCATGCTTCCTTGCAATGAAGTTTAGTTTGGGAAAAGTCTAGCACTTTTTTATAGTGCCACCTGTATGTATATCTCAAGAACATAAAGTTCCAGCTTGCTCTAAAAACTCGGTGCTGGATTTTATCTTATATCAAGTTATATTAACATGAAGATCGCATTCCAGAATGACACTGCTTTCACAAATAATTAAAAGAGAATACTCTTATGTATTCAGTATAATTTTTAAATTATACTATACGCAGAGAAATGCACATGTATTATCTGTACTGCCTGATAAATTTTGACAAACTGACACACCTGTGGAACCAGTCACCAACAAACAAGATACAGAACAGGACCAATACCCCAGAAGCCCCCTCATCACACTCCCTGCAAATCACTATCCCTCCCAACGTAACAGACACAGATTAGTTTTGCCTATTTTTATATTTTATATTAATGGAATAGTATAAATGTGTTTTCTTGTGTCTGTTTTCACTCATTATTATGAGAATCTTCCATATGTATAGTGGTAGATCAATCATTCTCATTTTGTACATATACTACTGTGGAAATATATTTGACATTACCTATTCTGTTAGTGGGCATTATTCCCATTTCTGATGGGTATACAGTAAGAGTGGAATTGCAGGTCCCACAGGTGTGCAAATTTTTAGCATTAGGATATATTGCCAAGTAGTTTTAAAAACTGTTTGCACAAAATTAAATTCCCAGAGCAGAGTATGAGAGTTCTGGCTGCTGCATATTTTTGTTAACACTTAGAATTTTTCCTCTTCTTCATTTTAGCCATTCTGGTGAGTGTGGAGTGGTATTGCATTGTGGCTTAAATTTGTATTTCCCTGATGACTACCTTTTCATATATTTATTGGCCATTTGGATATGCTCTTTGTACAGTGTCTCATGTTTGTTGCTAAGTTTTCTGTTGTCTTATTTATCTTTTTCTCATTGATTTGCAGTTCTTTATATACACATTTATTCTGGATACGAGTCCTTTGTTGTATATTGTGAATATCATTCTCTACTCTGCAGATTTCCTTTTTACTCTCTTAATCTTTTGATGTATATGCAGTATAATTTTTTTCCCTCTCAAAAAACTTAGTACTTTATTCATATTGTACATCTGGTATACGGAGCATCAATTATGCAAAGTGACCTCATTGTTATTAAATAGTTGGAAATAGATTTAGGGATGTTAATTAAATGACAAAATTGGTTGGAAAAAATTGAAGATCTGCTGAATTTTTAATTTAATTTATTTATTTTGAGACAGGGACTCTCTGTCATCCAGGCTAGAGTGCTATGGTGCAATCACAGCACTGCAACCTTGACCTCATGGGCTCAAGCCCACTTCAGCCCCACCAAGTAGCTGGGACTACAGGTGCACACCACTACACCCAGCTAATTTTTAAATTCTTTGTAGAGATGAGGTCTCACTATGTTGCCCAGGCTGGTCTCGAACTCCTGGGCTCAAGCAATTCTCCTACCTCCCAAAGTACTAGGATTACAGGCATGAGCCACTGCACCTGGCCTAGATTTTTTAGATTAATAAAAACTATACAGATTTCAATTTTACATATTAAGTTAGGTAACTTTTATTGTGAACTAAAGAAATACATAAAGCACTTCTGAAGTGAGCTAAATGAGATAAAGGATTTTAAAACTTTTAATACTGGGTTAAGACTAATTTTTTTTTCCACCCAGGCTGGAGTGCAGTGGTACAGCCTTGAACTCCTAAGGCTCACGCCATCCTCTCACCTCAGCCTCCTGAGTAGCTGGGACCACAGACGCGTGCCACCATGCCCAGCAAATTTTATTTTACTTTTTGTATTTTTGGTAGAGATGGGGTTTCACCATGTTGCCCAGGCTGATCTTGAACTCCTGAGCTCAAGCAATCCACTAGCCTCAGCCTCCCAATGTGCTGGGATTACAGGCTTGAGCCATCACACCTGGCCAAGACTAATTTTTAAATATGCAGGGATTCCAAAAGATTCTTATTGGGTCCCAACTCCTACTGTTAGTAACTATTTTGCATAAGAACGCCAAAATGGGTTGCATTCACTGAAGATATTTTCGTTATAAAATATTATACCAAGACACTTCAGTGTACAACCGTATGTCACTCTGAAGAAAATATTGCAAGAAATTTAGTTGGCAATATAGTAACTAGTAGAAACTAATAGTGACTTTTTTCTTCGACAATTTTGAACTTCTCTAGCGAATCTGGTTCTCGTGAAAGTGTGGTGAACTGATAGGCTTAGAAAACTAAGGTCTGCATCTATAGAATACAGACGGAGTAAGTGATGAATAATTTTTTCCTGTTTTTTTCAGGAAATGATATTTTTTCCTGAAGCCTGGAGGTGTTGCTTAGAGACATATGGAATTCTGTTCTAGACTTATACATTATTGACTTCCAAGCTGACCACTATAGTGGCAGTCTTGCTATATTTCAAATATGACAGTTATGGTCGCATTTTTTTTTTTTTCATGTGAAACATAGAGCCTTCTACTTAGTTCTAAATTGAGACCAAAAATTCATTTTCGGTTAGTTTCCACAAAGACCATCATAGAATTACCTACCTTTGGAAATTGGTCCTGTGATGGATTTAAAACAGTAAGCTGATGTTCAAAGTCAATATTTTTGAGTTGCCCAGATCCATATTTCTGAGCTGCTAACTTTCATAAAATGAACTTTTACTGATTCTTTGGTAACCTAGATAGATCTTTCGAGCTTCGATATTTATTCTCGTATTTGTCCCATTTCAATGAAGCTGAATTCCATCTTACCTGGACATTTTCTGAGCAGGAGCAAACACCAAAATTAGTGATGGGTTCTCCACTGGTGTTCCATTTTTCCAGACTGTCTTTCTTTAAACACCGTCTGCAAGTTTAAATGATTTTGCTGTGAGATGTGTATGTATATGTGTTCTCACATTTACATATGAGCATGTAAACAAGTATTTGGTATAAAGTTCATGTGTGTAGTCACAGATACAATTTCCTGATTTTTCATAACTTCAATGTACATTGCCCCACCATTTCCAAAGGATTTGACATTTTGTGATGGGGGACAAGGGAAAGCATTTATTGATTATATAGTATTGAGACCAGTGCTTATTGAGTTGTCTTAATGTGTCAGGATGGGGCTTTTTCTCTCCTTTATTCTCTTTGCTCTTTTCATCCTCTCTTCTGACAGGAAGAGGATACTTTAGCATAATAATACACCAAGGTCAAGTTTACATGAGTTATGTATTAATACTATCTTAAACATTAGAATAAGCAACACTGTATACTGCAAATGAGAGCTGGAATCTCAGCTAGATAAGTATCTTAGTCTCTGTGAACCTCAGTTCTTTGTCTGTAAAATGGGACTAATAATCCACAAGGTTGTGACTATTAAATGAAAATACAAGAGAGTTGTACAAATCATGAGATATCTAATATTTATTGGTATAGTATAGGATAACTAAGAAATGAACTAAAGGAGATAGACAAAAATCTGTTAAACAGGGATTTCTATCAGGGTACAGCTTTCTTCCAGGCAAATAACAGACACACACACACCCCCATGTACACATGAACACACTCAAACTGGAATGTTGAAAACAGCACAAAATAGAAGAGCAAGAACCACTTACAGATCACTGGTGTTCAGACACATGTTGTCAACTCCAGGGAAGTCCCACATTGCCGAGACAAGTGCTTCTGTGCTTGGGTGATAATTCCTGCAATATGAAAGGACAGAAAAAAATTCATGATTTTTCTACTAGTCTCCCATATTAAAATCATGCTTGAAGAAATGAAATGTGGTGTATATAGAACGGTTTTCTTTTTCTTTTTTTGAGACAGAGTCTTGGCTGTGTTTCCCAGGCTGGAGTGCGGTGGTGCTATCACACGACTCAGTGCAACCTCAGCCTCCCAGATTCAAGTGATGCTTGTACCTCAAACACCCGAATTGCTGATATTGCAGGTAAGCGACACCAGGCCTGGCTAATTTTTGTATTTGTAATAGAGATGGGGTTTTGCCACGTTGGCAGGCTAGTCTCAAACTCTGCAGCTCAAGTAATCTGCCCACCTTGGCCTCCCAAAGTGCTAGGATTACAGGCGTGAGCCACTGCGCTCAGCCTAGGACTGTTTTCTTAATCTAAGAAATCTAAAAAAAGACACAGTCTCAGGAAAAGAAAGAAAGGTATCACAGGAAAATGCACATGTCTCTATTTGGCTGCCTTCTTATTCACCTAATTGTCACATGCATCAGTGATCACCTATTGTATATGTAACATATTATACAGGATTCTGACATTGCTATTTAATATTTGTGAGACCAATAAAAAGTTATTTGCTGTATATTACAACAGATTGGGAAGCCACACCTAACCTGGCTTTCTTGATTAAAGTCTAGTCATTAAAAATAAATATCTACTATAACTTTAGCTTCAGATGAATGCAAAAACTGAAAAAACTATTTGTTGACAATAGAAGTAACATACTGCAATCAATCCAACTGTTCATTCCTTTCGCAGAATCAGGTACCGTGGCTTCTAAGTACTTTATTCTCCAGCATCTCATGGCATTCATTCAGGTACAACCACACTCCTGGCAGCGTTTTGGAAACGTTCTTTTAGTTAACAGGAAGAAACTTACCCATAGAAGGCTGTCTGTTCAGAGGTACCATAAAGAGAGGGGGAGATCTGAATCTCTGGATAACTGTTGCTGGAATTTCTCAGTGTGCCAAGGCCCATGGCAGTGGTCACAAAGACGATGGGGAGGATAACCTGAGCAATGAGACCTTTCCAATTCCTGCGGGTGTGGTGGAACCTCTTGATGAGTATAGCCATGATCTTCTTCAGCAACAGTCCAAAGCCATCCAGCCTCTCTCCTCTTGTCAGGATTTTGTCTGATTAAGAAAAAGAGATTGGATTTGGTTCTGGGAAATCTTGATAAGGAATAAAGTAAGTTCAGAAACTATAGATAAATGGTGTAATACAATGTGGTGGGAAAAGCTTTTAAAGATTTGGATTTGAGGTTCAGCAATTTCATTTATCAGCCTTAGCGTTGGACCTTCCATTGGGAAAATGGAAAACTATAATGTCCATCTCATACAGAACTATGTGAAAAGTGATTTGAAAATTCTAATTCACTATACACAAAATATTATTAGTCACAGGCATAGTAATTTTACATGTCAAAGTTAGATATCTAGAATTTCATAAAGGATTATTGTCCTCAAACCCTAAAGTCTCAACACAGACTCAGTATATATTACTAATACCCAAGAGATGGTCTCTAGGAAGAGACTAAATTCATGTGAGACGAATACAAATACAAACTCAAACACCAACCTAATCTAACAATTTGTTCCTACTGTGAGTAACTTAGTGACTGTAAGTCTAATTGGCTCTGATTCTAACATGAGGTCCAATTAATTCACACTAAGAGTAGGAAAAGGGAAATCCTCTCTTCCAGAGTACAATTCTAGTTCAACCACATATTTATTACATTCTCTTTAGAAATTTAGAATGATTATACAGCCTTTCAAAACTCCATTTTTGCCACTACAGTTATTAAAAAAAAGAACTCATTAGAAAAAATATCTGCCCTCCCCATACTTCAAAATGCTTTTCTGGTGCTGAGAAAAATTCCACGGCAGAGCAGCTATAGAGGCCATAAACCATTGCTTCCTCAATAGAGCTCTGTGGCTAATAATTTCAGCGGCTCCCTCTAAAAACAGGTTCAAATATAGCATTCTCTCCGAAAGCCTGCACCACGCACGCCTTCATAGGTGATAAGATGATGGTATTCATCAACTCTGTGTATATTTTAAGTTTTCCGTCAGAAATTATGGAGCACAAAAATCATGATCTTCATTTAGCTGATAAGAAAAAAATACAAAGCTGCTTAATTTAAAATGAATTCCAATTAAACAGAGTGAACAAGTTTAAATGCAAACTCATATCTCTGCAAAAGGGAATTGTAGAAGGAGCTGAATATTTTCAGTTAATTAGTATGCTTTTCTGTTTCTTGAGAAATTACATGTGGATGACTTACAGGTGTATCAAATGGAATAAATGTGCTTTCTAAAAGATAATGTCAATGAAGGGAACATTTGGACTGAAGAATAGTTTCAAATTATAAGACACATGCAGAGGCACATACTTAGCCTTTGCTTCCTGCAGCAGATGACCACTTTCTAATCAAAGTCCTCAATGCCATGGAGGACACAATTATAAAAGAAAAGAAATGAGAAATATGACAGAGGGCAAATTAGCCTCTAGTTCCAGAATTATACAAACATCAGAGATTATCTTTCCTGACTTTGAGAGCCAGGCAAATGTTTAATTAAAAGTTCTGTTCCTAGAGATTTTTTTTCTGTAAGCAAAACCTGTTGAAATGACTACTCCATGATTTATATATCATTTTACTCTATGATTCCTTAAGTAAATGGTGTTTCCAGAGGTATAAATTAACTGTCAGAAAGAGAAGAGACAATAAAAGTTATTTTCAAAAGAGCCCAATCCCTCAAAGTCGTGTCAAGCAACATGATTTTTTAAGTATATCCTATGTTAAGGATTGGGGGAGGAAATCTACTATTATAGACTCGTAGCCATCAAGTCCAAATTAATTAACTCAGAAACTCTCCCCAAAAGCAGTTTCTCAGCACCTGAAAGACTCAGATTCAGGTAGGTTAGACGTGTTTTCCATTGAGGGTACCATAAAGAGTGGCAACTCCTTTTTTTTTTTTTTTTTTTTACTTTTTTTTTTATGACTATTGTCTCTACTTCAACATGTCTAATAACAAGGAGTGAACTACTTTACATGGTAATCTTGTCCATTGTTAGCCCCAATTACAAGAAGAATTTTAACTTGCTGAGCATGAATTGAAATTGTAGAAGTTACATCTTGAAAACAATTTCTGGTGGGTAGGTGGAATACTCATCACCACACTATCAAGGGAGTTCTTTCACATTCTTCAAAGTACTTTTGAAATAGAGGATTCGATTTGGTTTAATGAATATTTTATATCTTAAAAAAGGAGGCTTAAATTTCCTTAGTGTTTTTTTTGAATTTAGAATGAAACTTCAGAGTTGAATTTTTAAAAATCAAAGTCTGTCTCTGATTTTTCTCATTTATGTCATCTATTGGAATTAAACAAAATATCCACATTAGATTCATACCATCTCTGTCTGTGAAATTGCTGCTGCTCACAGATAAATCATCAGGAGTTGAGATGCCATTGGCACTGGAGTTCCCAATTTTCTTTTGCGTTAAGTGCTCAAGACTCATAGCACTACTTTTTTGTGACTCTTTGGTCAAGTTCAGAAAGACCTAGAAAGAGAAGCCAGATCACTTCATTAACATGAAAAGTGCATATCTTTTCTCATTTCTAAGCTTACCCTTGATTTTGAACTTTTATCACATTTATTGAGACAAATTTTTCCCATCTGACTTCACGTGAATATTTCTGTATGTAAAAGATACACGCTGTCTAGCTGGGGCAACATTTTATTCTCGGTCTTACATAAGAATAGTATTGAAAAAATGTTAAGCTTTTCTAATTTTGTGAAATATTTATTTTAAAATTTTTTTTAGAAAAAATGGCACATATTTATTCGAAGGGAACAGCAAGTTATATCAGCTTGAAGAAAAAAAACAAATGTTGAGGTATACCTCCTCCACGGTGGTATCTGAAATGCCGTAGCACCCGATGTTGAGGTCACCCATGCCGTTGTCAAGTGCTCGTAGGAGTGACAGGTAGGCCCCTGAGACTTTGGTGCTGAACGGAGGCAGCACATAAACAAGCTCTCCCCCAATATCCTCCTTGAGGTAGGCTTCGGGGAGATGTGATTGGATCATTGCTGTCACGGCCATGGTGTCACATACTGCATTTGCATTTAAATTTGGACTCTAAGAGAGAAAAGTAGGAATTAAAACACTCTCCTCTCTTTACACTATAGTGCCCCAGGGCCCTAATCAGAGTGTGAGGTGATGAGCTCCTTTAGGCCACTCCACACGTGAGTCAGATCATACATCACTGCTCTAGAGACCCCTTTGCCACTTGGGTCCCTATTCTGCTGGCCCCATTCTTTCATGTCACCCTGTCCCTTCTCTAACCCCCTCCCTCTCATTTGCTCTACTCTAGCAACAACGGCTTCTTTTCTGTTGCTAGAGGGCTTCAGGTTCAGGCACATCCCCTCCTCAGGGTCCTTGCAACTGGTGGTCCTGTGCCTCCAGATAGCGATATGTCCCATTCTCTCACCACCTCCAACTCTCGGCTCAACTGTCACTTTATCAAAGAACCTCTTCTCTTATTACCCTACTTAAATATTGCCCCACTCAGCATTCCCTGCTTTATTTCTATCCATAGCATAGAAATAAAGATACTACATGATGTACTAATTGCTAATATATGAAATAATTTACTTATTGATTGTATCATCTGAATTCCTCACACTCCATCAGAATATAAACTCTAAGAGGCCAGAGATTTTTCATAGTGCCAGTTCACCGCTGTGTCACCAGTGCCTGGGACAGTGCTTGGATATCATAAGGCATAATGTACCTAATACATAAATTTCTGAATTAATGAGTATAATAATTAACAGTATAACTATTAATAGTATAACATTTTATTATATCTTTTAAGTCACATCAGGAGGATTAGATATAAAATAAATGGAGGTAGTTGAAAACTTCCTAATAGCATATACATCTTGCACAGTATTTTTAAATCATATGTTCTGTTAGGTGGTGAGCATTTTTGTTCTCCAAAAGATGTAAAGGTACCGTTGACCTGTGTAAGTTACAGTCCCTGCACTGCCACTTGAGTGCTAATCAGAAAGTGAACCCAGGACTTCATGTTCTTTTTATTTGCTTTTGATAAAGCAGAAAATTGAATTTTTGACTTTCTAGGTTGAAATGTTAGGAGAACTAAAAGACTGATTCTCCATCAGTAACCTTAAGATGTCAATCATTTTTTTACCTAGCACATTGGTTCTCAACGTGCAGTCCCCAGACCAGCGACATCAGCGTCACCTGGGAACTCAATAGAAATATAGTACATTCTGGACTCCCATCCCAGACCTACAGGATCAAACACTCTTGGGGTGGGGCCAGAACTCTGGGTTTTAGCCAAGACCTTCAGGATTTTGATGCTCACTCAAATTTGAGAAGCACTAAGCTAGTATACTAATGAATTTTAGCAATGAATAAAGTTGGAGAGACTCTGCTTCTATTTCATATAAAACTTAATTTACGACGCCATAATAAGGTATATTTTCTCCCATTCCCACCTTCTTCTTGGTGAGCGTGAGGTGATACCCATCGCCAAAGGCTTCCTTGAGGTAAAATGGGGACCCACAGCACCGAAGCCCACCCTGCTCCAGGAAGGCGATGCGGTCACTCAGCACTTCAGCCTCATCCAGGTGGTGCGTCGACAGAATGATTGTTCTGGCTTGAAAACATAGACAAGAACAACAAAGAATGAAACATGAAAGTACAGTTCCCAAGATACATAGAGTTGGCCAGAGTAAATCCTGTGACATCTGAGGAGAAGAGTCACATTTTATGAGCTAACTGAAAAACTGACTGACCTCAAAGAGCTTCCAAAATGATGCAAGAAGAATTCAGGGCCAGGCTCACTGGGTCATGCCTCTAATCCCAGCACTCTGGGAGGTTGAGGCGGGCAGATCACTTGAGGTCAGGAGTTCGAAACCAGCCTGGCCAACAGGGTGAAACCCCATCTACAATTAGCCAGGTGTGGTGGCAGACACCTATAATCCCGGCTACTTGGGAGGCTGAGGCAGGAGAATCTCTTGAACCCAGGAGGTGGAGGTTGCAGTGAGCTGAGATCATGCCACTGCACTCCAGCCTGGACAACAGATGAGAGTCCATCTCAAAAAAAAAAGAAAAACTCTGAAGGGCGTTCTTAAGTATTTGGAGGCATTTTTTAATACAGATTAACAGCAAATAATCCTTTATTATGCTGAATGACTAAATGTTCACCATTTGTCATGTGGGCATTGGCAATTCTTCACAGTCTATTAGAATTTTGCTCCCGTGGGTTCATTCTGCATTGTTTCTCTCCCTCTTTTCCCTTTTCTTTGTTATGAAAAAGCAGTAATTTAAGACTTTTTGAATATTCCTCTCTGATTATTCCACTCCACTCTGATTACTCCATTACTTCACATCCTGTTAGCACTTATTTAGTCTGTTTTCAGTTTATTTTCATTTGTGTATGTTTGGTATCTCTAATTAGATTCTTAGCTCCTCTAAGCATTAAACTTTGAAACTTCTGTTGGATTTACATGCTCTCAAAAAGGCCAGTTAAATGCTCAAATGCTCAACCCACAGCGGGTAGTACATAGATACTAACCAATTGACCCAGAAAGTTATCTGGCGGAAAAATCTTCGGAAAAGAAAGAGCCAATCTTAGACTTTTAAAAGATATTATACCTGATAAATATGTACAAGCATTATGTATCTATACAAATTAATTTAAAAAATTTTTAAAAGATATCATAAACAGAAAAGTCATCAATTTGCTGTTTTTTGTTTATTTGTTTTGAGACAGTATCTCACTCTGTCATCCAGGCTGGAATGCAGTGACTTGATCATAGCTTACTGCAGCCTTGACCTGCTGGGTTCAAGTAGTGATTCTCCAACCTCAGCCTCCTGACTGGCTAGGACTCCACATGCCAGCCACCACAGCCAGCTGTTTTATTATTATTATTATTTGTACAGACAGGGTCTCACTGTGTTACCCAGGCTGGTCTCAAAGCAGTCCTCCTGTCTTGGCCTCCCAAAGTGCTGGGATTACAGGCGTGAGCCACTGCACCCAGCCTCAGTTTGCTTTTGTATATGCCAGAGGGCAGAAGTATGACTGCTGGGTGGAGAAGTTCTGAGAAACTACTCATACCTGTTTTGTTCTTGGATATAACGTCCCATATACTTCGGCGAGAACATGGGTCAACTCCAGTAGATGGTTCATCCAAAATTACTACCCTTGATCCACCAATGAGAGCTATGGATATAGATAACTTCCTCTTCATTCCTCCTGACAGCGTTCCAACTCTCTTATGACGATGGCTATATAGTCCAGTATCTTTTAAAGTCCTTCAAAAATAATGTATGATGGTTATTTTTTTACAGATATATTATTTGAGTACTGGAAACATACAATAACCCTAATCAATATGTATTCACTAAATAACTATTATGTGCTCAGTAAGGTACAATAAACTCTTGAGGACTCATAATATAGTTTTCTATTATTTATCACCTGATTGGAGGTACAAAATTAATACTCAGAAAAAAAAAAGGAATACATAATTCATTCCTTTGACAAATATCTAGAGAGTGCCTGCCTATTTTGTGCCAGGCTGTGTTTTACAAACTTGAGAAAAGCAGTGAACAGATAAAATTTCTACTCATAAGGAGATTATATTCTAGTAAGTGTGTGTATTGGGAGGGATATAGGGAAATCCAGTCAATAAATATATTCTCAAGTAAGTTTTGGTGGTGATAAGTGCAACTAAAAAAATAAAACAGAGAATATAAGATAAGAAGTGGCTGGGACATGCTATTTTAGGCATCAGTTTTATATACGGCAGTCATCTCAGAAATGGTGACATTTCGGCAGAGACCAGGAAAGTGGTCATTTGACCAAGAATAAGTCAAATGGCCACCTGGGTGGGGGATGCTGTAAGTAGAGGGAAGAGAAAGTAAAAAGCCCTGAGGCTGGAGCAGGCCTAGGATAGTCATGTGTGTAGCTAGGCCAGTGTGCCTAGAGCAGAGTGAATGTGGAGGTGAGTGGAAGGACATGAAATCAGAAGTGAGGATGGAGGCAAGTCACTTAGGACCTCGTAAGCCTTGATAAGGCTTGATAAGGCTTGTAAGGCTTGATAAGGCTCGTAAGCCTTGATAGGGATGTTATTGAGTATTATACTGAGCGTGGAAGGAAGCCATTGGACGATTTAAATCCAGGAGTGACATAGTCTGATCTGCAGTTGAAAAAGATCACCCTGGCTGCTCTTTGAAGAACAGATTTCACAAGAGATGAGTGAAATCCAAGAATCCACTTAGGAGGCTTGGACCAGTGTAGTAGCCATGGAGATTAGAAGCAAAGGATTCAGGGCAATATGGGAGCCAGAGATGAAGAGAGTTAAACAATTTCAGTGTAATAATTGGCCGGTAAGGATAATGACTTTAAATGTTTTCAATATTAAAGAAGTAGAAAAACTAAAAAGTAATTATTTTGTGAGAAAACATTTCCTATCAGTATCATTTCCAGAGCTTTACCAACCAAGCTATGGGTCTTTGAGAGGAGTTAGCAACTTAGGTTCTCACTCCTGTCTTAACTTGCCTTTTTACTTCCTCATGGAGCTGCTTTTTAGTCCAGTGAGGAACTTTGATGGAACCATATAGGAGAAGGTGCTCCTTAGTAGTGAGGTAACTGAACAAGACGTCGTGCTGCATACAGACTCCCATGTTCTTCCGTACCGTGTGTAGGTCTGTTTTGATATCTTTTCCATATACAAAAATGGTGCCTGCTGAGGCCCCAAACAGCCCGGTTAACATGGAACTGGAAATGAAGAAATGATAAATTAGGTATAAGCCAAGCATTGAAGCTAGATATTAGGACTAACTATATCTCAGTTGTTAGAAAGAAAAAATATAGTGTATTTTCTCAGGCAAGGGCAAACTATGAAATAAAATGGTATTTAATGGGAATAAGAAAAATTACTTTTAAGTTTTTAATAATTCAGAGTATCACATAAATGCTACATAATGGTGGTGGTGGTAGTGGTAACAATGACAAAAACGATCAGGCGATCTCAGCTCACTGCAACCTCTGCCTCCTGGGTTCACACCATTCTCCGGCCTCAGCCTCCCAAGTAGCTGGGACTACAGGCGTGTACCACCACGCCCGGCTAATTTTTTGTATTTTTAGTAGAGACGAGGTTTCACTGTGTTAGCCAGGATGGCCTTGATTTCCTGACCTTCTTCGTGCCCCGCCCGCCTTGGCCTCCCAAAGTGCTGGGATTACTGCGCCTGGCCACAACTGGGCTTTTAAATTCCAAGTACATTCTCACTCCTTGAGCAAACCCATGCACTTTCCTGACATCCCTTAGCATCTACAGGTTGGCATGTCTCAAATTTACATCTGTAGCCCAGACCTCATTATTCAGCTCCAGGATTGCTCTATATATCTATCAGACAATACCACTTCTCTGTGAGATTTCTTACAGGGTCCTTCAACTCAATATGTTTAAAACTGAGCTCATGATCTTTACCCTAAAAGCCACACCCTCATTGATCTTGCCTCTTTCACCATGTGATAAATTCATATACTGGTTGCATGAGACTGGAATCCGTAAGTCATTTTTGCACTCTCCTCCTATTTTAATCTCCTAGCTACATGCCCATCTCACCGTTTTCACAGCTATCCTCATGGAACCATCATCATCACCACCTGCCTAATCCATCACTCTAAGCTCCTAACTCTACTTCCCACATGCTCTTAGTTCATCTCCAGTCCTTTTCTCTACACTGTGATTAGAATATTCTCACCTGGATAATTCCCCATCATCTTTCAGATAGTTAGTAAACTGGGCAATTATTTAATACCCATCTCCTCCACTACAATGTGAGCTCCATGAGGTCAGAGAAAGGTCCTGTTTTCTAAGTACTTTGTCTCAGTGACCTAATCAGTGCCTTGCATTGCAGACTTCTGGATTAAATTATGAACAACGGAATATGCAGTTTTCCCATATGAACATTGAAATACAAATAACATACTTTATATTAAAGATTTCTATTTAGAACAATAAAATGGGGGCATTCTCAGCTAAAATTATAGCCTCTTCAAGAGCCTTCTCTGTTCCTTTTCTTCATTAGCCTCTTATTGCCTATTAGATACATGAATGGAGCTGGAGGCCATTATCTTTAGCAAATTAACACAGGAACAGAAAACCAAATACAAATATGTTCTTATGTATAAGTGGGAACTAAATGATGAGACTACATGGACACATAGAAGGTAACACCACACAGTGGGGCTTTCAGAGGGTGCAGGGTGGAAGGAAGGAGAGGATCAGGAAAAATAAGTAATGGGTACTAGGCTTAATACCTGAGTGATCAAATAATATGTAAAATAAACCCTCATTATATAAGTTTACCTGTGTAACAAACCTGCACTTGTGCCCCTGAACTTAAAATAAAAGTTAAAAAAAAATGGCCTTTTTGTCATTGTATTCTCCCTAGAAAGCCAACTTTGACTTTAAACAGGCCATGCAAATAGCAGAGGCTATATGCTCACTCATTTCATGACCTTCCTTTGTCCCCTTTTATTTACCAAAAAAAAATAAAAAAATTAATTCCAGTGTT